TTCCATGACGCCTGCTGAAATGACTGAATTAAGGAAATACATCAACAGCAATTTGGAACAAGGTTTTATTGAGCCTGCCAAATCAAGACTAGCTGCCCCCGTGTTGTTCAAGGAGAAGAAAGATGGCGGGTTGATATTGTGTGTTGACTTTAGAGGTGTGAACGCGGTATGCGTCAAAAACTTGTACCCTCTCCCCCTTATGAAGGACTTATTGAACCACCTGTCGAAGGGCAAGATATTCACCAAGCTAGATCTCAGGAAAGCTTACTACCGGGTCCGCATCAAAGAAGGAGATGAGTGGAAAACTGCTTTTAACTGCTCTCTGGGTAGCTTCCAATTCAAAGTCATGCCTTTTGGACTTCAGGGAGCTCCTGAGTGTTTATGCAGCTCATCAATGAGGTGCTACATCCGCACCTTTACCGGGGGGTCCTCGTGTACCTGAAAGACATCCTTATCTTCAGCGAAACCATGGAAGAACATGTTCAATTGGTCTGACAAGTTCTAGAAAAACTTCTAGCCACCAAATTATATGTGAAACTCTGCACATGTGAATTCCACAAAGAGTTGTTGGACTACTTAGGCTACCAAATATCCAACCTGGGGATTGAAATGGACCCCGGAAAGGTGAAAGTGGTGCTGGACTGGCAACCCCCAGAACCCAAAAACAACTTCAAAGTTTCTTGGGGTTTACCAACTTCTACAGACAATTCATTCCATCCTTTGCTGAAATTGCCCTCCCATTGACAGAGCTATTAAAACCAGGCCCATCACCTACCAAACCGAATCCAAGTCAACCCCTGGCTTGGACTATGGGTTGCCAGAAAGTTTTCAAGGCCTTAAAACACCTCTTCGCAGCTGAGCCAATCCTCCAACTCTCCTCCAACTCTCTTTAAAAAATGTGGCAGCTGAATTTTAAAGCTGACAGGTGTCCCCCCTTGAAAACTCCTCCTCCTAAAAGAAAGGGGAAAAACCAGATACAGGGGTTAACACATTTTCCTTAACCCCCTCTTCACCTCCTCAATGAGGACCCTTCGGTTTGTGGGGAAAATCCTCATGGAATTGGTTAACCAATTGATCAGCATGAACATTCCAACTCTTTACCCAATTAGCATCCGAGAATGGGTATCATTTCCATAAGACCAAATATTGCAATCAGCCACAGTTTAATCTAGAATTGAGAATTTTTTGAATTTCATAATGTGTATGTACCATTAGCAGTTTAGGGGGAGCAGTTGGCAATGGTCTTATCATTGATGTAGTAACTGGTTTTAGTAAACTACAATGGAATACTGGATGAATTTTCCCCAATATTCAAGGAAGACTTAATTGGACAGTGACCGGATTGATTATCTTTGAAATTGGGAATGGACCCATGAATTTTGGACCCAGCTTCTTACTGGGCAGTTCTGTGTTTCATCGTGGCACAAACTAAGCAACTTTTTACATAGTCCTCGACATCAGGTTTCATTTTTGGCCACCAGAACTGTCTTCTCAGTAAATGTAGGGTTTTTAGGAATCCGAAGTGGCCTCCCAGCCGGGAGTCGTGGCTACGCTTTAGTACTAGTAGTCTTAGGGTTGTGGGTACATAAAGCTTAGTCCCTTTCCAAGCTAGTCCATCATTCATTGTCAACTCGGTTTGATGGTCCAGGAAACAAGGGTCGGTCAATAGGGCCATTTTCAATTCTGTAGTCAGCTTATCTTCCAGGTGTTTGGTGTTGTGGTTGGCTTGGTCTCAAGTGGTCACTTGGCCTACCGATTGAGCTTCTGAAATTAAGGCTTGTACTATTTCCTCTCGGTGACTGTCAAACTGAGGTTTTCTGGACAGAGCATCTGCCAGTTCGTTTTTCCCCTCTGGGGATATATTTAATGTTAAAGTTGAATCACTTGAAATATTGGGCCCAGCGGACGTGTTTGGGTGATAATCTCCTAGGAGTCTTTAGAGCAGTGATCCCCAACCTTTTTTACTCCGCGGCCCGATACCGGCATCAGCTGGGCGCCGCGGCCCGGTACCGGCATCAGCTGGGCACCGCCATCTTTTTTTGATGAAAAAGTGCTTCCGGTGACCTCACCGGAAGCACGTTTTCATCAAAAAAAGATGGCGCCAGCGCTTCCGGTGAGCTTTTCCAGGTAGAAATGGCTTTCTACCCGGAAAAGCTCACCGGAAGTGCTGGTGCCGCCATCTTTTTTGGCGGCGCCCAGCAAGCCAGCGGCCCGGTAGGAGTTGTTCCGCGGACCGGGACCGGTCCACGGACCGGTGGTTGGGGACCCCTGCTTTAGAGCCTCAAGGTTCTTATGATCAGTCCATACCTCAAAGGCCTCTGGCACCCTTTCTAGAAAATGCCTCCAAGTCAACAAAGCCCATCGTATGACAAACGCTTCTTTCTCACAGACTGCCCACCTTCGCTCTGTGTCTGTCAGATTTTTGGACACATAAGCGCAAGGCATCAGTCAGCCTTGAGAGTCCTTTTGCAGCAAAACAGCTGCCACTGCTACATCACTTGCATCCGTTTGGACAATAAAAGGCTTGGCCCATATTATTTAAAAAATTCCACTATGGATATCTACCATTGAAGCTTTTTCTTATCCAATAATATATAGAAAGGAACAAACAGTTAGATATGGTGAGATATTGAATGAAAAGGGTGAACAAATCTATGCAAGCATTGGAAGAACAAGGTGTAAAAATGAATTGGTTTTCATATTTGCAAATACAATCTAGATTTGACCAAGATGTTAAAGCAGAAGGTATTTATGATAAGTTGACTGACTTAGATAAGATTTTGATGGGTACTGATGAAAAGGTAATAAAAAAACTTTATGGACACTTATTAGAATTTAAATTGGAGGAGGAACAAAGAAACAATGATTGCTTGGGGGAAAATTTGGATATGGAATTGATTTAGAAAAATGGCAAAAATTGTGGTTTCAAAATTATAAAATGACAATGTCAACTGCATATAAAGAAAATTTTATGAGATGTTTTACAGGTGGCATCTACCCCTGACTTGCAAGAATGTTTAAGAATAAATCAGATAAATGTTGGAAGTGTCATCAGATACCTGGTTCATATTACCATATGTGGTGGACATGTTCAGACGCGAAGAAACATTGGATTAAAATTCACACATGGTTGGAAAAAACGATAAAACAACATATAGACTTTAAACCAGAGATATTTTTATTGGGAATTATACTGGAAATATACAACAAAGAGTTGAAATATTTGATTGTAAATGTACTAACAGTGGCTAGGATTGTATTTGCTAAGAATTGGAAAAATGATAAAATACCTATGCAGGAGGAAGTTATCAAAAAAATTATGGACTGTGCTGAAATGAGTAAATTGACATTTGAAATTAGAGAAGAAGAAGATAAATTTTTTTATATAATATGGGATTTGTTTTATCAATGGTTGGACAAAAAGACATGGTAATGTAATAGACTAGATAATTTTGTGATAGAAATTTAATAGATTGATATAACACATAATATAGACATATATAACCATTGGTTGAAAGTATAATATAAATTTTAAGATAAAACCTGGAATATCTCGTATAAAATGATGGAATAAATAGTTTAGTCATGGATGATTAATAACTGATAAATATACAAACATATGTTATTTCAAGAATGTGAAAATTGATATAAATTGTGAGTAAATGACTACAAAAGAATAGCACAAAAGATTTGTAACCAACTGACACACTATATGTATATAAAATGGAAGATGGTTTTGTGTTTTTATGTTTTGTATGTGTATGTCTGTTTTTAAAAATAAAAATTCTTTAAAAAACAAAAACAAATTATTATTGAGTTTCCATGAATATGTTTCAGTAAAATTGAAAAGTCATTGGAGATTTAAAGTATTTATTCATACGTTATTCTAATATATTTATTATTCATATATTATTTCCCCAAATTAAAAGTAAATACATTCTCTTTGAGTTCTATGGTTTTATATATCAAGACATAGTAAAAATCATCTAGTCTAGACTTTGACTAAGCCATCACAACATCTTGATTCTTTTCTTTTTCAAATTGTAGATTTGCTAGTGTGCTTAGGATCATTGTCCTGTTTCATGACCCAATGTTGGCCAAGTTTTATCTGTTGGACAGATGGCCTCACAATTGACCCTAAAATTCTTTGATATACAGAAGAGTTTGTGGTTGATTCAATGACTTGCAAAGTGCCCAGGATCTGTAGCTGTGTTATGGTTGACTCACTACACAGCATCCTCAAAATCAGACAACAATAATGGGAGGGGGAGGGAAGGCATTGGAATGTGCAGGTGGTTTGTGGGAGGGGGAAACTCTGTAATGCAAGAGAAACAGTTCCATCCAAAGGTCATCAACTCAAAGAATGACCAAGGTAGAGAGATTATTCTGGAAACAACCCAGGTGCAACCGATTGGTGGATAAAAGCCAAGGAGAGATCCAGGAAGGGAAAGGGGAACTTATGTTTTCATTCATGAAATGTTAGAACTTCTATACCCACTTTTCAATAAAGTATATTCTTGGAGATTTAAAAAAATGTCTTAAGAGTTTCTTTTGCTAGCTAATTAGGACTGTTGACAGGCCACAAAACAAGCCCAAATAGTCACCCCTCCACTACCATACTTGACTGTTAGCATGTGATATTTGGACTGATATGCTGTATTTGGTTTTTTAACAAAAATAGCACTATGCCCTATGTCCAAACATCTCCACTATAAGAGATTACATGTCCAGAAAGATGACTTCAATTAAACTTAGTATCATACCATTAAATTCAGCACTGTGACACGCTTTCAGCCTAAAATATTTCCCAGTTTAAGAGGCAATTTATGCGATCAGTAAAATAAAACTAAGAATGAAGATTTTTTTGATGCTGCTGATGCTGATTGATGAAGATGATAAAGAAAAAGAAATAAAGATAGAATCAGCCCTCATTGTTTTCCAAACATTAAAGTACCTGACTGAATGCTAACATTTTGCTTTTTATTTCACTTATTGGATAGAATCTACCTATTTCAATGTGTGCTGAGAGCTGCCTCCCTGGATATTTCAAAAGAAAGCAGGAGGGAAAACCATTTTGCTGTTATGATTGTCATCCATGTCCCAAAGAGAAAATGTCAAGCCAGAAAGGTAAGAAGCTTCGTGAATCAAGTTCTGTTATGACTCTACAGGAAGCTGGGTTGTAGTTGTTGTACTTGAATTTTCACATCTCTTAGCATATTGTGCTCTCCCAAAAAGAAGGATTCATTTTCCAATTGGAAAACTTCAAACAAATAATTAAAAATTAAAAATTGGCTCTGGTTTAACAAAAAATAAATAAAGCAAGTAATATAATTGATTAAAATAACATTGAAAGTCCCAATTTCTTGTACATTGGGGTAAACTTCTCATTTTCATATCTTTGTATTACTCTCCCATAATATCTGTGCCAATGAATACATGGAAAAGTGTTGAAAACATAATGCAACTCTTAATCCAGAGAAATATTGAACAGTAAGTAATTACAAATACTAAACATAAAATCTTAAAATCCAAACATTAAAAAGTCAGATTAACAATGTAAGTGCCAATTTTGCTATTAAGAAAAGCAAATGAAAGACCTGTGACATAATAATATTCATGAAATAATCACAGAACTCAATAGAAATTCAAATATATACACAAATGCATGTATGTTTATATATGATATATGTATATTTTAATTCCAGACATGGATGACTGTTCCAAATGTCCAGATGATCAATATCCAAATAAGAACCAAGATTCATGTCTTTCCAAGAGAATTTCATTCTTATCCTTTAAAGAGCCAATGGGAATATGTCTAGTGATTCTGGCAATGTTCTTTTTTCTCTGCACAGTTGTGGTTATGGCAACATTTTTAAAATATCATCATACTCCCATTGTCAAGGCTAATAACCGAAATCTCAGCTATGTTCTTCTCACCTCCCTCCTCCTCTGCTTCCTTTGCTCACTGCAGTTCCTTGTTGCACCAGGCGATATAATATGTCTCCTCCGACAAATTAGCTTTGGCATCATCTTCTCAGTGGCTGTGTCTTCTGTGCTGGCAAAAACTATCATTGTGGTTCTGGCTTTCATGGCCACCAAGCCAGGATCCAGAATGAGGAACTGGGTGGGAAGAGGACTGGCTGCCTCCATTGTTCTTTCTGGCTCCCTGATTCAAACAGGCATCTGTGCAGTGTGGCTGTTCACATTTTCCCCTTTTCCTGACATTGACACTCATTCAGAAATTGAGGAGATCATACTTCAATGCAATGAAGGCTCATCTACCATGTTCTATTGTGTCTTGGGCTACATGGGCTTTCTGGCATCTGCCAGTTTCACAGTAGCATTTTTCTCAAGGAATCTCCCCAGCAGTTTTAATGAGGCCAAATGCCTCACATTTAGTATGCTGATCTTCTGCAGTGTGTGGATCTCTTTTGTTCCATCCTACCTGAGCACAAAAGGCAAATATATGGTGGCTGTGGAGGTTTTCTCCATTTTGACCTCCAGTGCAGGTTTGCTTGTCTGCATCTATTTTCCCAAATGTTACATAATTATCTGTAGATCAGAGCTAAACAATAGGGAGCAACTCATTAAAAGAAAAGGTTCATAAAATACGAACCAAACTTCCCTGTAATGATTTCTCTATTTTAGAAGCATTTGTTTAAACCTCTAGTAAATTCATCACTGAATTTGAAAAAATGAAAATATTTGGATGAGTTTTCAATGTAGGAATAAAACCCAGTCAAATTATCACTCATTTAACTAAAAATCTGAGATATTAAGAGGCCACAATTCTCTTTAAGTTTGCAAATTGGAATTTGGATCTATTGATCTGAGGATCAATATTGATCTGAGTCATGCCATTGAAATAATTCAGACTTAATTTGAAAACACACATGGGAAAAAAAATAAGCACAAGCTAAGAAACTTTACAAATATTTTCCATAGGAAAGTATGAAAATGCTTACCTCTGTAACATTTTTGGAATGTTGAAGAATTGTGTTAAATGGAGAACTAAAATCTACAAAAAGCATCCTCACATAGCCCCCCTGCTGCTCTAGATGAGTCAGAGCAGTGTGAAGAGTGATATCTATAGTGTCCTCTATAGACCTATTTCTTCTATATGCAAACTGGTGTTTATCAAATGTATGTAGAGGACCAGAAATGATGTGCCGGCAGACCAATTTCCAAAGCACTTCATGATGATAGGAGTGAGTGCCACTGGTCTGTAATCATTGAGGTTATTGATAGGGAACTTCTTTGGCAGCAGAACAATGGTGGAAGCCTTCAAACAAGATGGAATAGTGGACTGGTTTAAAGTCCGATTGAAGATCCTGGTAAAGACTCCAGGAAACTGATCAGCACAGTCTTTAAGCATTCGGCCAGAGATACCATCAAGACCAACAGCCTTTCTAGGGTCCACAGCCCTCAGAATGCTCTTCACCTCCTGTTCCTCCACAATGAGGTGGAGGCTACAATTGGCTGATGGTTGTATTTTATCTGTCTCTGATGTCTTCACTTCAAAGCGAGTAAAGAAATGATTAAGTTCCTCTGCCAATGAAGCATCCCCCTGAGCAAGGATGACATTGGTTGGTTGATGGTTTGTAATTTGTTGAATTCCTCACCACACCTGCCTCATGTTATTGCTATAAAAATTATCCCCAAACTTCCTCTTATAATCAGTCTTAGCCTTCTGAATACCTTTCTTCAGATTAGCTCTGGCAACACTGTATCTTGCCCCATCACTGGACCTAAAGGCCTTGGTCCTGTCATGCTAGAGGTACTGGACTTTCTTGGTCATCCAGGGTTTCTGATTGGGATAGATCCTAATATGTTTATCTACAGTGACAGTATCTGTGCAGTGTTTGATATAGCACAGAACAGTTGCAGTGTGCTCCTCTAGGTCAGCGTGGTAAAAGATGTCCCAATTTGTGTTCTCAAAACAATCCTGAAGTTGTTGGGAAGCATCTTCTGGCTAAGATTTCACTGTCTTTATTATAGGCAGAGCCTATCTCCTAAGAGGGATGTATGCTAGTGTTAAAAGCAGTGACATGTGGTCTGATTGTCCCAAATGTGGTAACTGTATAACATTATAGCCATATTTGATGTTGGTATATAATTTATCCAATATGTTTGTTAGGTATAACATTGATACCAAATATAGTTTGGGTGAATAAATAT